CAGGAGGTGTCATACCCAGCCCTCCAGAGAGCAGGTGGGGAAGTTTCCCGTTGAGTAAATTCTCCAAGCCGAGGCCGCTAGCTGAGAAACAAGCTCAGCTCTTTGCTGAATAGTTGCACCTGACGTGTTTTTAATGTCCTTTGACAGTAACAGGCTTGGTGTCGTAGCTGCAGATATCAGATAAAACTTCATGGCAAGAGCATTGAACTGGAGGGATTGAGCACCAGCATTAATGAATTGCTCTACGGGGGGACTGGGTGAGACAGTGTCAGGAGTTCTTCTTGGGAAATTTTTAAAAGTGGTTTTCTTGATGTCAGAATGAGGGTCGTGCAGGAAGAAGTGAAAGAGGAATGAGGAAAAGGAATATCTCAGAAGAGGCCATGGACATGTAATATGAAATTGAAAAGAAGAAGTCTGGAGGGGAGAGTAAAAAGCAGACATAGTGCTGAAAAAGCACAGGGTAAAATATACCAAACAAGCAGATTTAGTTGTTTAAATGTCATACTTAGTTAATAGAGAAGATGAAAGAGACTGTTAAAATGTACTGTTTAGGAAAAGTCACGCCAGGAGGTGGCTGACTTAGAGATTCTTCTTCACAGTTTGACCAGCTCAGTACTATTTAGATACTATCTGGCACTTAAACAGTGGAAAATTCACGAGTATACTGGGAAGTAGTGGTAAAATTCACTGCATAACATCACTGAATATTTTCCTTGCTGTTCAGCCAAACCTATTATTAAGTCATATTAAAAAAACGCAATAGGAATGTGATTGACAGTGCATCACTTATAAATACAAAACACTACTCAGCAGATTCCTTATTTAAACAGCAGAGTAATGGCCTTGTGGGTCTGGGACAGCCAAGGTTCATGTCAGCCTGGTTGGGGAAAGTTTTATGCTGTGAGGCCATCTTTATTGTGGCACAGAAATGGTTTTAGGGCATTTTTTTTCTCGATTAGCTTAAACCTCCTGCCACTTGTCATAGAGGTGTTGTGGTACTGGAAGAGGTGTCAGCTTGTATCTGTAGGGCGACCCGTATCTTTTTAAAATTGTATAATATGCTTTGTCAACTTTTCTTTCTTTTTCTTTTTAATGACAAGCTGCGTCACAGCTGAAAATGAAACTAGGATTCCTGTATCAGCTTGAAAATTATACATCTAATCTTTGTGTGGCATCTTTGGTGGGATATTCATTCTTACACTCCCTCCTAAAAACAGTGCCAGTTATTTTAGTAATACTGCAGTTGCACCCGCAAACTGCATCACGTATGAGCCTATCACACTGTGTATCATGTATGATACACGTTTAACAAAAACTGCTTACCAAGTGAAGATGATTAATTATATTGTATGGTACCTGCTCTGTGTTACTGCATTTGCAGACAGGCGTGAAGGCAAGGTTCTTTACCCAGTAAGCTTGCAAATTTATTAGGGGTTGATCCAATCAGTATGTGTTAAAACTAAAGGAAGAATTCTTATTGATAGGATCAGACTTAGAAAACAGCCTCATTTTATGTCCCCTCGTTTTGTAATGACTTTGAAGGACATCTTTCCTCCCCCCCATAAGTAAAGAATACTCACTAAAAAGCAGGAAAATGTACTTAGTGTGGCTTATACGAAAGAGTATAATGCAAAAATAGCAGTTGCTGTACTTTTCTGGTAGCGTGTCTCAGAATGTGATTATGCTTTTTAAAATGTGCTTCCTGTGATAGCATTGCTGAATTATACCCATATGTGGATATTTGTTTGTTCTTATACAGGCAATGATGCTTTTACCATTCGCCATGACACACTGAACAAGTGCATACAAGTTAGAAACTCACGGATAGTGATAGATGACTGCAAGGAGACAAGTGAAGCTTTATGGAAATGGGTATCCCAGAATCGCCTCTTTCATTTGGGGTCCAGGCAGTGCCTGGGACTTGATATATTCACCAAATCACTGTCTCGTTTGAAAATGGTTGATTGTAACTCGGAACTGATGCTGTGGTGGCGATGTGCTGATGCTTCCATCCTTGGTGCGTCTCAGTACAAAGTGACTGTTAAAAGCATGACCTATGTAACTGCAAGCATAAATGCAACAGACCAGTGGAGAAGCAACAGTTCCTCCGATGATATATGTCGGTACCCTTATCATGGTAAGTTTGCACAGGGGTTTGCAGGATTTCTTTTTTTGTTAAGGGCTTGTTGCTGTATGTCTATGCCAATACATCCTTGAAATTACTCATATGAAAAGAGTGATTGGTAAAGCAATATAATGTTTTTCTGTAGAGAGATATTGATATTCAAGTATGAAACTTTAACAGTTTTTAATAAAAATAAATATGCACAACTGCAGAAGTTGTGTTATCAAGTGGCTTTCTTCACATGTTTAAAACCCTCCCCCCATATTTTAGTGAGAGCCTATTTAATTATGAAATGTCAGCCACCTTCTGTCAGAACTGATACTGTCCTCTTCAGTGATGGGAATTTTGCTGTTAGCTCAAGTAGGAGCGGGATTTGAGGCTATTTTCATTGCTGGTAGGCTGTACAACCAGATTCAGTGCATGCTGCTACCTCGCAGCCTGTTGGACTGTCAGGAATGATCTGTTTGCTTTGGTTTGGTGGTCTGTCCGCTTGCCAGGGAAGCCAGTCTCGTCTGAAGTCTCCTGTTTGCTGGAAGAAGTGGTGAAAACTTGCTTTACCATATTTAAGAGCACAATTTTCTTTGTATTTGAACTGTTCAAAGTGGCTAGTCTGAAGAGCCCAGGAGACTCCAGTTTGAAATGTTTTCCCTCTCCTGTATGTGTTGATTCCCAGACTCTTGTCCTGCACTACTCTGTGCAAACCACCTGGATCTCACCAGGACCATGCATTTATCCCTGACTTACCAGGAAGGGGGAAACAAGTTTCTGCTGTGTTATGCCCCACTCGGAAGTGAAAGTACAGGAAAATATTTTCCTTTCATTTGTCAATTCTGTCATTCCTGTATATTATCATTAACAACAAGGTATGGTGTTTTAAGACCACAAGTGCAGTTTGCATGCTTCTAAGCTAACTATGTCTGTATGAGCAGTAACATTGATTTGCTGTCCTTTCCTCCTCTAGACAACTTGTATATACTTCTTTCTTTCTTTTTTTGTTCTGCAGAAGTTTATACCAAAGATGGGAACTCCTATGGAAAACCCTGTGAGTTCCCCTTTCTGTATAATAAGATGTGGCGTCACGACTGCGTTCAGGATGAAACTCATATGGGTGGGAAATGGTGCGCCACATCTGAGGATTATACTCGCGATGGAAAATGGGGAATCTGCTTACAACCAGGCACGTTGGGTTTCTAAACAGAATCACAGAATCACAGAATCTCAGGAGTTGGAAGGGACCTCGAAAGTTCATCCAGTCCAACCCCCCTGCCAGAGCAGGATCACCTAAACTAGGTCACACAGGAACGCGTCCAGGTTGGCCTTGAATGTGTCCAGAGAAGGAGACTCCACAACCTCTCTGGGCAGCCTGTTCCAGTGCTCTGTAACCCTCACAGTAAAAAAGTTTTTCCTCATGTTCGCATGGAACCTCCTATGCTCCAGCTTGCACCCATTGCCCCTTGTCCTCTCATTTGACATCAGAGAGCAGAGCCTGGCTCCTTCCTCCTGACACTCACCCTTTAAAAATTTATAAACATTAATGAGGTCTCCCCTCAGTCTCCTCCCAGCTGAAGAGACCCAGCTCCCTCAGCCACTCCTCGTAAGGGAGATGCTCCACTCCCTCCATCATCTTTGTGGCCCTGCGCTGGACAGGTGTCCTAAATGCGTTCTGTCACCTCATGTATGTATGGCTCCACCCTGCTGCAGCACGTTGCTGTTAAGCTGGGTTCCCTTTTCTGTCGCAGCATTGACAGGATGGTTACCACACACTTGCTGTGTAGTAAATGTCATTACCAATATAAAAATTGATAGACCTTCACTTTTACAATTTTTCTTTTGTAACTTTCATGATGTTTTGGTATAGTTTTAGTTAAAAGTACCTTTTGCTTCCTTTAAACAGAGGATGGTTGCAGTGATACCTGGGAACATGATCTGGGGTCTGGAAGTTGCTACCAGTTCAATACACAGTCTGCTCTTTCTTGGAAGGAAGCTTATATTTCATGTCAAAGACAAGGGGGAGATGTACTTAGCATCCAAGATGCATCTGAATTAAGTTACATACAAGGTAGGTGTAATTATTCATGTATGAATACCAGGAAATCTTGACAAATTAAGACAAAATAAAGACAGCATTTTTAGTTTGTCTTAAAATTCTGGATGAAAACTTGATTGTACTTAAAATGCATTGATGCTTTCATTTGTGTAGCAAAAATAGGATACTAACTCACTTCAGAGTTGTGGTTGGTTGATTGGTTGGTTTTTTAATTTATCTGTGTGGTTTCATTTTAGTGGCTACGTGTTTTTCGTATTTATAGTGAGGAATGTCCCCAAAATCTCAGATGTGGCCCAGAGTGGCAGTCGGTGTTTTAACAGCACGTTACCCAGTTGTTGTCATGAAATCGTCCTCACTGATGTTCAGGCTTGACCTGGGGGAATTATCAGTGAGCCTTTGGGAATATAAAACCAAAGGACAAATGTCTGAAGGCGTTCTGAGGGAAGACTTGTGTGGGAGAAATCCTCCTCAGTTCAAGAAAGGTTACGTGTCCCATTATAGTAGCAGTCTTTCTTTCCTCAAATGAATGCCCTTTCAGATCACATTTTTAATTTAAAGGAGACAATAAAAATAAGCATTTTATACTAATTCTTTTCTTAATAAATACATTTATCTCCAGCTAAGGATGACATCGCTGAGATCTTTTGGATTGGCTTAAATCAACTGGATCTTTCTGGAGGTTGGCAGTGGTCAGATCACAAACCTTTGAATTTTCTCAACTGGCATCCAGGTAATGATGTTTCTGGTGGTACTAACAGTATTCACAACACACACTAGTATTTTGCTTTGCCCCCTTTTTTTTAACCCTTCTCTGTTGGACTTCATCAAAACAATCATTGTTCCATTTCCGTTGAAAGTTCAGAAGCCTCTTGTCCTCTTAGCCAGTGAATCTTCCTGCAGTGGTTCTATATTTGTGGATGGTTAGGTTAATAAACCTCTAAGAAGGTAAAACTTAAATAGTATATTTGAGGTCTATTTTAGCAAAGAATCTACAGCTTCCTTAGCTGCTAAATTTCTCCTTCCACTGAGAATGGCATTGGCTTCCCTCAAATATTACAATTATCGATGTTTGTGCAAGAACTGATATTACTTAAAAGTCTAACTTGGGTTTTTAAACTTCAAGCTTGCTTGAATTTGTTGGGAGATGAAGAAGAAAGAAGTATAAAACCTTTGAAAAACCTTTTTTAGTTACTCCCAAGTTCCTAGTAGAATAGGTGAGAGTCTTGTTTGTTTGGAATTTTCAGCATGTATTTGTAATATTCTTGTGAGTATGCCATGGATGTGTATATATGAGAATCCTGGAGGAATCATAATCAGGAATACCGAAGCTAATATTGTCCTGTCATTCATGCTTAATTTGACCTTTTTAAAGAGGAAGTCTCTTTTTCCTTGAGTTTCTAGAATAGATCTGCAACATGAATTCTGTGAAAATGTAAGAAGTGGTTTCTGTTGCCTCTTTGAAAGCTTTACTAAGAAATTTCTGTGAGATTTTTCCAAATGTGGTCTTTCTTTTGGGAAGATTAAGGACTTTTCCGGTGCTTTTCTGCTGCTGCTTCTTCTGCACCGTCTTCTGCAACTGTGATGACACTGTGGGACTGCAATGCAGGCAAGAGACTAGACTGTCCCAAGTTACAGTGGCATAATTTAGTCTGCAGTCATGGCAGACATACTAATGTCTATCCCTCCTGTGAAAAAATACTGGTATCTAACAGGAATTCTGCTCTCTGCAAGTTGTGCCCATTACTTCTTGTCTTTTCACTGTACATCTCTGAAAAGAGCCTGGCCCTGTCTCTGTTGTACTCTCCCATGAAGAACTAAGATCCACACAATGTGAGACTGGAGGAATCCAGCGCAGGGATAGCTGGGGTGCTCTGTGTAGGACACAGCTTGGGTTTGTGTTGAAGCTCAGAGAAAGAGTGCAGAGGGTGCCATTGGAAAGGGGCTCCAGGGGAAGCTGGGGACTGCAAACAATATTCTCCTCTGTGATATTTTTAATCTGGGGTCTTGTCTCAGGCTTCTGTTAAGGTAAGAGCTATGGTTAGCGTGGACAGAAAGAGTGCAGAGTTGTGTTTGGAGTGGGGCTGGAAAGGGGCTGCCAAAGGAAGCTGAGGGCTGCAAAAAGGGTTCTCCCCTGAGATATTTCTAGTCTGGGAAAGTGCTCAGCCAAGGGTTTGTTGTATTGTAAATAGAACATTCCTCCTGGTTCTATGATTAAACACTGGAAAAGAAGTCCAGATGCCTTGATTCCTTTCTCTATTACAAAAAGCTCGCTCTGGGCCCTATGGTAGGACAGGTGCCTTCATTCAATCCAAGTTGTATTCTTCAAATACAAGGTGCTGCATTATGCAAAGTATATTATTTTTGTACTGAAAAGCAACAGAAAAAAGAAGCAGTCACTGCCTTACTGTTTGATAATTGATGCTCTTCTATTTTTATGTGTTCCTGTCTGTAGATATGCAGAGTTTGTCCCCGTTGGATGGGACCAGCTGTGTGGTGATGAATGCTACTTCAGGTCAGTGGCAGAGTTACCACTGTGGGACTCCACTTCCATACATTTGCAAGAAGTCACTTAATGAAGTTTCAAGCCTCCCAGGTAGGACAGCTTGCGTTTTTGTACAATAATATGAGTGTAATGTTCACTTATAGAGTCTTTTTTTTTGCCCCTCCCCAAGCCTTCTTCGGCATCTCTGCGAAAGCACTTTCACAACAGCTTCGGGTTTTTTAGCAGGGCAGAAGCAAGCTCTGTGTCTTCAGTGTCAAGATGACGCATCACAAGCAGCTTTCACTTTTTGCAGCTTTCTCATTCACACGTAAAGCATTTCTCAACACAGTCCTGCCCTTTTCATCACATTTTTCTTCATGGCTTGTGCCTTTCATGTGCCACTGAAAGTCTGGAACTGGCAGTTGCACCTCAAACCTCTCCATCTCTGCTTTAAGCCCATCTCTCTTGCTCTTGGTGTGTATTAACATAAAATGGGACCTACCTGGGGCTTGGGTCAAGCTCTGTAGAAATTCAAATAGAAGTAATTAAATTACCTTACTATTCTTTGAAACCAGGCCCAGCACTGGAAACCAGAGTGCAAGAGTTGGTAGCATGCCCAGTGTGTAATCTTTACTGGATCTGTAACAGCTCTTACAAGATAAAAGTAAATAATACAGTAGGAAACCCAGAACACTTGAAAGCTTTATTTTGTCCTCCCTACACACATGTATATGGTCCTTCAGCTTTTGCAGTGTCCAGCTGTGACATACAACTGCTTCCATGCCTCTGGCCATGTACCTACACCTGGGTGTCCAGCCCTTCCGATATTCATGGCTTCTGCTTTGGCTTCACCCAGTTTCCAGGGCTTGTGCCTATGGGGCTCTCATGGGAAAACTTTTCTGAGATAAATGTCCTTGGATGAGGGGGAGGACTAGAGGGTAAGGTGGATGAAGCAGTGTCCTGGAGGTGGAGAGTGTCATGGAGTGTTGCTGGCTCAGGCCTATTCTCTCTGGCTCCCACAGGGGAGGTGTGTGCGTTTAAGTAAGAAAAATAGTAAGCAGTTTAAATTTAAATAAACGGGTTCAAATTTTTAAATGGTCCCTTGAAAACTAGTTGTCAGATAACCATCCTTATTTGTTCTCTGGCTCCTCAGTGAAGTATGTGAAGTTGTTACCAGCAATTATACAGTGGTTTATTAATTAAAAACCAAAATTCTTGTGCTTTGAGTATTTTACAGTGTATTTTGACCCAAAAAGCTATTAGTGTATATCTTTTTCAACATGCATTAAAACTAGTTTGAATTCTTGAATATCTTCATTTTCAGCAGAAAAAATACTAAAAAAGGAAGCATTTGTTTCATTGTGAGCTATTCAAAATTGGTCTTAAGTGTGGTGCTGTATATAGATAATAATGCTCTATAGAAGTGCAAACCCCTGCCAGAACAAAGGAAGCAACTTTTTGTTGAAACTGCTGTCCTCCAATGACGTAACTGGTTTTGCCTTTAATTGCTTTTGAAATATTTCTTACTGTTACTTCTGAACCTGTGCTTACATTAAGACAGCTTTGTGTAGCGCATTCCAGCTTTTTACGTTCACTCTCACTTTCTTTCTCCTTCTGCCTATATCGTGGCCCCAAAATATTACTAAACCCCCTAATACCACTCAGTCAGGTCTATTTGGTTGACTGAATTGTGACTATTTCTTAAAATCCTAGCCCTGAATAGATGTGGATACATTCTGATCGTCGCATTCGGGCTGTTTTCAAGGTGCTGCCGGCTTTAAAACACAACTAGCTGATATAAAACGTAAGCATCTAATTCCATTTCTCTCCACTATCAGAGTTCTGGAGACACTTGGATACTCGCTGTGATTTGGGCTGGCTTCCCCACAATGGTTTTTGCTACATGCTGATGAACAACCAGGAACCTTGGGGTACAGCATATGAGCTGTGCAAAGCAAGTAAGAGTAACCTCATCAGTATACACTCGTTAGCAGATGTCGAACTGGTGGTTACAAAGCTTCATAAAGGTGAGTTGGGATCCTTGTAAGGGTCAAGCACCAAGTGCTGCGCACCATAAATTACAGACCCCTTTCCGTGTTCTAGGGTGTGATTGTCATGACCTCTGACTTTTAAATGAAGGTGCTAATGCCTTGCTTGTACCCAGGCTAGTGCTGAGTGTTCAGGTCCAGTCCCTCTGTGTTAGCTCTTGATTTGGTTTGGTCTGTTTTATTTATTTCTGTATTTGGCTAACCTGCTTCTAGTTGACTAATGCCTTGTGTTTAATCTTCTCATTCCAAGAGAACCCTAGGTGGTTGGGTCAGTATCTGACTGCTGGGTCACTGAACTCATAAATTTTGTGTATGCTCTGCGGTCTTAAGTTTTTGTGTGCACTCTAAAACTTATATTTGGTTGAGCATTTTTTGCTTGAGTGTTCATTATTTCTGGGTTTTTTATCGATTTTTTACCTTTTCTGGGAAACTTAGTCATTAATATAAATTGAGAAACAAGATAATGGAAATACACTGTACTTGTCTCAAATCCCCTTTTACACTGTAAGAAAAAAATGGTGACATTTTTGCTGTGCAGTATCGTGTTAAAAACCCGATTTTGTTGATTTCACATTCCAATTAGTCTGTGAGTTTTCTTTTGAAACTACGATGTTGCCCTAATTTTAAATTCCAGATGCTAACGAAGAAATGTGGATGGGTCTCAGGAATGAAGATGTCCCAACCTTGTTCAAATGGTCAGATGGCTTGGATGTGGTTTTTACATATTGGGATCAGAATGAACCGAAAGTTCCCTTTAACAGCACTCCTAACTGTGTGTCATATTCAGGCAAGGTGGGAATATGGTGTTGGGTTTTTGTTTTAGTTTTTTCCATCGCAGTAGAGGCAACAGTGACGTGTGTGAAAGTCAAGGGAGGGTGAAGCAGATAACTGATTTTATTTCTGCAGTATTCTTTAAAATACAAATAATCATTTTTCCACAAGCAAATTTCTTCAAATTGTTTAGCTGACACTTGGTAGCCGTCTACTGCAAAGAATGGAAGAAATTGCTCACAGCTTGGAGACTGCTTGTGCTCTTGACCAGCCAGTTGTCCTTGTCACCCTGCACTTTGGGTTAACCATATTCCTGTGTGTCTGAGGCAGAGAGCTAGGAAGGAGGTGGGCCGAACTATTGAAAGGAAAAGCTGGGTTCAGTCATCTTCAGGACCAATTTGGGGGACCCCATCTGAGGATAGGTGGTGAGATAACTCAGTAAGAGGAGAGGAGAGGAGAGGAGAGGCACTGATCGGACACAGTAGAGAAGCAGCAGGGGGTGGGTTGGGGAATGAGATCACAAAGATGAGTGGAGAGGAAATCAGGCTGTACCCCATCTCCCAGATTCAGCAGAAAACTGGGGCAAGCGTGTGCCTGCTGTGCTCTCAGAGGTCTTGTGCCCAGCTGCTCTGAGCTGCTGCCTCCCCACCTCTGCAGAAAGCTGAGCACACCCCCTGCACCCGTTTCCTCACGAATCTGAGAGAGTTGGTACCACCCTGGCCTTTTTTTTGCCTTTTCTGATGTGATCCAGAATCTCCTATCTCCACATTTGCTGACTTTCTCTCTATACATGCACCTATGCACATAGTCCTGGGCATCCCACCCCCAGTATTTTTAGTAGAGGCATTTTGACTTTCCCCCTTATGAAAATTCAGCTTCTGCACTGTGGAAATTGAGAGATTTTAAGGATTTTAAATACTTTTTTTTTTCCCCTCACAGTTGGGGCAGTGGAAAGTCAGATCCTGTGAAGAAAAACTGAAATATGTGTGCAAGAAAAAAGGAGAGATTTTGAATGAAACAAAATCAAATAAAAGTTGTTCATTGGAAGAGGTAATAGGAAGTCTGTCTTTTACTTTCACTTGGTTCAGAAACCTGCATAAAATGACTCATTTTCTCCATTTCCCATTTTCTTCTTGCTGGTACAATAGTGCCTATGGAACGTTTTAGCTGAAAAAGGACATTTATGTAACATGAGCCAAATTTCATATTCTCTTAAGCAGGCTCTGGATGTATTACCACTCTGTTTATTGACGAAAGGATTATGAGCTTGGACCCAGGAGATGCTGTGCTTTATTTGTTTGAAAAAATAAATTGCTTTTACTAGATAGGTTATCACTAATGCCATTTGTTCTGTGGGTTTTGTTTTAAGTATGTTTTTAAATTTAGGATAAGCACTTTGCATAGGCTGATAACTGAGATTGGGTTTCTGTTACGCTTCACTTGGCTATCACTTTTATTCTTCGAGTTGAATAAAGGTGGAGGGGTTTTTTTGTTGGTTTTGGTTTTAGGTTGTTGGGGTTTTTTATAGTATAACATGTTACAGCATAAATAAGGCTTGAAAAGAAGCCTTCTGTGTTTTAGACAATCTCGGGATGGCATTACTAGATACTTCAGAGCTCTTTGGTTCAGTTATGTGTGGCACATTGCCTGCAACAGGAAACATGTTTACCCCGTATCTTTCTTTCTGCACAACCTCGGGGTATTTTTACTCTGTCTCTTCAGAGACTGCCAACATGTAGAAGTTACAGCTTTCAGATGCCAGGGGCGTTGGTAGGCTTAGCAAAGAGGGTAACACATTAACTTTCCCTGAGACTTCAGTGTATATATAGGGGAAAGATTTGAATAATAGAGAAATTTTGTAAGCTCACACATTTTCAGTATAAAATACTTTTTCAGAAGTAAAGACACACGAGCAGTGCCCACTTATTCTTCTTCTGTTTGAATCCTGGCGTTGGTGGAACAGCATGAAAACTCCTATTGTTTTGGATAGGACTAGGCTGTCCCCCTTGTGTTTCTCTCTCTAAATGCACATAGCAGTCAGAGGACTCTGCACGGTCGAGCTAAAACAGTGGTGTACTTTATTCTTGTGGTTGCATTATTTCTTAGAACTGTGAATCTGAGAGTTGATGATACTGGACTTCGTATGTGGTGCACTGCATTTCTTCCCTGTATATGCTGTGCTGGCTTGTGGGTACCAAGCATTCTTAGCAATGATTTATTTTCTCCTGTAGATAACGCCTGAATTAGGCTGTTAGATACAGATGTGTTTTTTGTTCTCTAACTAGGGATGGGAGAGACATGGAAACTACTGTTACAAGATTTATAAAACAGAAGTTTCATTTGGAGCACAGTGCAATCTTACAGTGATGAACAGGTAAAGCACATCTCTGTAACCTATGGGTGTGTTATACAACATGATCCTGAAGATGTGATTAGAGATTAAAACCTCTGTATTCTAATTGGTGGCTTAAAAATAGATACAGAATTGCTTTTGCATAGAACTAGCAAACTGTGTTCTCCACAGTGTGACAATGGTAAACCTACAGTGTTAAACCTTTTTGGAAGTCTGTGAATTCTCAGCCTGCTGACCCCACGTTGAATACAGGACTGCCTGGACAACCACTTGAACTAACTCATGTTATAATATACCTGATTTTCTAATTTATTCAGTAGTTTGAGATATCTTTCAGATATTGACTCAAATTAATCTGTAAATTTTCAGATTTGAGCAAGAATTTATAAACAGTCTAATTAGAAAACACACCAAAGTTGAAGAAAAGTACTTCTGGACTGGTTTGCAGGATATTAGCCAGTCAGGAATATATTCCTGGGGTACAGTGGATGGGGAAAAAGCTGAAGGTGTGACGTACACTAACTGGAATTCCTTGCAACCAGGTAAGTTTAATAATTAAAAAAATACATAAAAATACCATAATTCTACATTGAGCAAGCATTGGAGTACCATGTTACAGAACTCCCAAGGATGAAATGAAATAGTCACTCAGAAATCTATGGTTTTTTTGGAAAACCAGCCAATAGTTTTAAACATATCTTTTGTGGCTTAAATCGTAGAGTTTTCGGGAGGATGTGTGGCCATGCCCAGTGGAAAGTCTCTTGGAAAGTGGGAAACTAAGGACTGTAAAACCACTAAAGCATTTTCTGTCTGCAAAAAGTATATCGGTCTGCCCAAGGAGCCAGAAGTGCTCCCAAAGCCAACTGATCCCTGTCCCCTTGGCTGGCACAACGGGTCCGGCCTTGCCTGCTACAAGGTAAGATGTTATTCCTATTAGAAGTTAATTGTTACTGTAGATCAGCAAGTGTGTGATGAGCCATTTTGTGCTGCTCTGAAGGGTGTTTCAAAGTTGTTTTGCACTGGGAGAAGGAACTCGTGTCTATTCAGGTTGCCTGCTTCCAGATGTTCTCAGGCATCATCCTCTGCTGAGTCCTGAAAGGTGCAAAGTGTCTCTCCATCTTCTTCCTGTGGCCAGCTCTGCACATCAGAGCTGAGCAGGGTGACAGCGTTCACCCATGCTGCCACCTCAGAAACCTGGTACTGACAGAGGGTCCCGTGTCCATGTCTGTATCCTAACCTGCCTGCCATCATTAGACGTGCAGAGACACCTGAACAAGGAGGGAAAGTGCTTTGCTTTACCTTCCCTTGTCCTTTTCCTTTCTATACCCTAAGAGTGTAGATAGGAGAGGTGGGATTTTCCGTGGTTGGAATATGGATATCAAACTTTATCAAAAAAGTGTGGTTGCAATTGTATTTTACTGTTTTTGACATAAATAGTGGAAGTGAGCAGCCATGCTGTTAGCTGGAATGGTTTAAACAAGTTTGTATTTAGAAAGGCGGGGTTTTACCCTCCTGTTAACAATCAAATCAAGTGAAAACTGAGGCTGTTTATTGAATTGTTATATTCATTATTTCTGGACTCGGTGTCTGCAATGAACTGTGTCTTGTAAACAGCTCATGTAGCAAAGTGGGGAAACCTAGCTCAAGTAACAGGGGATGGGTCCAGCTGCTGTGCAGCAGAGCTGTCCCACAGCTGATGGGATGTGACAGCTGGCCCTGGTAGCATCTTCAGAGCTCTTGTGGACCTAGTGCAGCATGTCTGTGCAGAGAGAGAGCCAACTGATGGGAACTGCTTGGACTGAAGTCAGGGGGATCAAGCGAACATGTTACCTTAGGGGTACGAGCCAAGTATGCAGCTCTGATATGTTCAGAGAACGCATCACTGTAGCACCCAAACGGGCCTGATTTCAGTGAAAATTTGGCTTTGCAGTTCCCTGTAAATTTGAAACAGCAACTTCCCATGAAACCTATGATTTGGCTTGCTGTTTTGAAGTGAGTTGGGTGTTGTTTTGTAAAATCTTTCTGGTAAAGAAAAATAGAAAGCCTGCCACATGGAATACATTGCATTTAAAACAAATTTTGTTAGCTAAACTTCAGAGTCCAGCTGTTGTGAAACAAACTGAAAGAAGTGAAATAATTGTTAAGAAGTCAAGCTCTCTCCCAGTGGAAATACCAGTTATTTGTTCCTACCCAGGGTGGCCGTATTTGAGTGGTCAGGAGTGTTTTAACAAAGCTATCACTTGTGTCATTTCCTGCTCTGATGTTTGGCTGTTGTGAAGTTCTTCCACAGTGAGAGAGTGCTGCGAACCAGGACCTGGGAAGAGGCAGAAAGGTTCTGTGAAGCACTCGGAGGCCATCTGCCTAGCTTTAGTCACTCAGAGGAAATCAAGGTGCTTCATTCTATCCTGAGAAAAATAATCAGGTAACAAACCAGCCATGCATGGGCTAAAATACTGACTCCAGATGCTTTCTGCAGTAGATCGCAAATGCTACTGCTGACCCCAGATGGCAAGTATGAGATAGTGTACAGTGACTGTGTTTCCCACAGTGAAACCAGCTAGATGTGGCATTTGAACTGCTGGTCATGTCACTGCCTTCCTGGAAAATGTCAAGGGAGTACAGCGTGGGCAAATGTTTCACGTTACTGGGGGGAGCGCAGGAAAAGAGATTTGCTTTGAGCATCTTCCATTCCGTGAATTCAAGTCTGTGTTGTTGTAACAAATGTTTCTTCTTTATGTTGAATTCTGGGACGACTTCGGTGATAGTTGTTCCTATTCTTTACTGATCCGTTCTTTAGAGATGGGTTATTGTTTCAGTCTTTCAGATAGGTCTCGTCTTTATTCATTAAATGCTTCCTGACTAAACCGGGTGCTATCTTTTGAAAAACATGATTAATGTAGTGACCAGCAATCTGGTTGGCCCAGATCCCATTTGGCATAACTGCAGTAACACTGTATGGGCATTAGATGGGTGTGTTGAGTTTTCTTCTATCAACAAATTAAATGCTACATAGTTTATGAGTCTAAGGCTCTATTTTTAATTAAAGAGACTGTCACTGCAAAGCTTTATTAGGCATTGGTGTGATGTCAGATCCTTGTGTAATACGGTTTTTGATTGGCAGCCTGGTTTTTCAGAACTTTTGCCAGCTTAAACTCAAATGCTTCCAGTTATATGATCTAAATTTTTTCATCAACAAACTAAATTGGGATTATTTCAGAAGCTGCCAATGAACAACACTGTGATTAAATGTTAAAAGTTGATGACTGAAGGGATGCCTTCTTGAAAACCCAGTGAACTTTTTTAGAAGTGCACAAATCATGAAAATTCCTCAGTGTTTATGTTAATGAGAGACAAAACCAAACTTGTATGCTCTATAGATAGATTGTTTAGCTTGTGTAAAAGCCACTTGTGACTCCTCGGCTGAAGTGACTGAAGTCTCTAAAATAAAAATCAGTGCGCAAATAATTTTTAGCTATATATCTTAATATACTGTTCTGCACTTAAAAATGGTGTTTCAGTGTACCTAATCAACTGTGAAACAGAGAGAGAGAAGTAACTTCTTTTATTTTCCTACACGTACTTGGAACTGCTCTTCAGCTTGCAGACCGTCTGAGGCATTAACTACAGTCAGTGACCATTTTTTGTTAGGGGTTTAAAGGTGGAGACTTTTCCTTTCTTTCCAGAAAGTCAGCTGACACACAACTCTACTGCAGCTCCCATATTTCAGAAAACTCAAACTTAGCCTGGAAGAAGGAAAGTCCCAGTACTTAGGTATTATTCTACCAGAATTTAAATAAAGGGCAGTATATTGAGCCCAGTATAAATTGACTTTGCAGTCAATGTTACAGTAACTGCATGTGTCAAATATAACCCAGAACAGTATTTTCGTCTGAATTAAGCTCTTTTCAAGCGCTGTAGAACTTCCTGAACAGAAATACTGCATATTTGATCTTGCCTGAGATTTTTAAAGTAATGTTTGTTTGTTTAGAATACATAGAGGGAAGGGTGGCTTGTCTGAAAATAGACTCATTTGAAAAAGAAGAGAAGAAACCGAGTGAATTATTTCACCAGGAACAAATAATTTAGGTAACTGGGAGAAACCATGCTAAGATAATGTTAAATGTGATTAGCTGCTGGAGTGCACTGGCATGCAGTTTGTCTGTGTTCCCTGCATTTACTCAGTACAAACTCTGACCTAAACTATTCATTCAGTGCATTCATTTCAGCTCGGGGAAGGAGCCACACCTTGGCTTTTTTTGGTTTTGAGTTTTTTCCCCTTGCACAGTTCTCCGGTGACTCATTGAGAACTGTTTGTTTTGAAATGTTAGCAAAATTCAGCTTGGTTCACCAGGAAAAGGGCAGCTTGCCTAGTCCATTCTGTTCTTTACTCGGATTCCACCTTTGAGGCAAATAAGAGCTAGAATTGCTGCAGCCAAGCCGGGTAATTGCCATTGGAAAGGAAAAGAAAAATCTCCTGCCAACCTTCCCTTGTCTGAAAGAAACAGGAGATAACCTTTTTTCACTTTGAGGGACATGATACAGGCAGACGGATCCGCTTCAGTTACCTCCATTCTTTTAGGATTGTTTTTTGTGAGTGTTTGCAGCTTCTATCTGGCAGCCGCGCTGGACACAAGGAGAGTAACAGCTTGGGTTGGTTAGAAATAACATTTCAACGAGGACACCTTACTGGAAGGAAATCAGTTGCCTTTTATATGCACAGCTCTGCTTCTGTAGTTGTTCCGAATCTAGAAAGCCTCACTAACACTTGAGTTTGCAAGAAAAGGCTGATCTTGCTCTCAGCACGCTGGCCAAAACAGCAGGAAAGCTGGGATGCAAGTTGTAATTGCATTAATGCAACTTCTCTTTTCTTCCCCTGGAGAGTAGGTGGTGAGCAGGATGGGGGTTCAGCTAGGGGGAGTAGCCTGTCACAGAGGGAAAAGCAGAGGTCAAACGGGTGTCGTATATACTTTTAGGCCAGCTCTGCCAAAAATTAAATGGTGCCTTAAATTGCACCATTGAGGCATTGGCCCAGATGTACACATTTATCATGCTTTTACCTCTTGTCGAGGACTAGGTTGAACTACAAGCCACAGTAACTTCATTCAGGCTCTTAATCTTGTGTTAGAGCTGACGTAAGGGACAGAAAAAATACATTTTCTATTTCAGCAGTTAGAATATGACAATAGAAAAATTACTGGTTTATATTCCCTTCACATTGATCTAAACTGTATTTATCCACTCCTGCAGAGCATTGACTCTTACGAAGTTTTAGCTCTGTGTGAAAGAAAAGCCACCAGTATTTTGCAGGGATTGCTAGAGATTTAGGATCTTTGGTTGTTAATCAGCGTGGAGTCCATGGTAAAACACAAATGGCACCTATTTTTTAGGTTTAAACGCAGGATTATCTAGGTTTTAGAGGCAGTTCCAGGAACGTAGCTCAAAGAATACTGTGGCACTGATAAATCCATTTTGATACAAGTCCACAGGATGAATGTTAAATGATTTGCAATGAGGAGACAGATACCTAAAGTACAAGCACGTTCCTTGCTGCAGGCTTGGTTGCAATAGTCTTGCAATTTGTCTTACACAGTTGGCAGGATTATTTTCTGTGATGAGATGACAGTGTAATTTCAGAGGGCTATCAAAAGGCTTTACTTGAGTTTAAAAGTGCTCTCAAGGATAGCGTAGGAGTTACTGAGTTACTCATGGTCATGCCTGAGCAATTCCAAAAGAAGCAAAAAATGTACATTAATGTTTAAGTGCCCATTCAGCTGGAAAACGTTGTTGTGTTTTCAGGCCAGTTATGGTAAATTGGGAGATCAGCTGGAGAAGTTCTTGACCCAGCACGCTTTTTGGTTTTTTATTTATTTGTTTGTTACAAAAGCCAAATACAAGTTGAAAGACTCTGAAAAATTAACTGCAGTTCCTCAGGTAATTACTGCAGAACCTTTTGAAATCAGTGTCTCGAGTTTTCTCCTTAGAAGATATTTCTCTGTGATGATCAGTTGTTGAAACCGCGCTGTGCCTGGAGGTGACCGTTAGGAGAGGAGGGTCAAGCAATTTCTGATTCAAAATCAGAAAGAACAATCACAGCAAAAAAACCTGAATCCTAAAGGCAGATTGCCAACAGCCACGTAGCTGCTTGACAGCGGTGAGTGTTTGCCTCACAGTTTTCCCTCTGGAGTGATACGGAACATTGGGGCTCTTAAAAGGCTCCTTGGTGATGCCATTAAAAGACTAAAAACTGTTCAGTATGATCAGATGTGATCACACTGTCACACCAGTGTCAGAAAATTAATGCTGGAGTTCAGGGAAAAAAATAACTTGTTAGTGGCTAAAGTTTTTCTTCCTCATGGGAGCCCTTCCAAATAAAATGCTGTTGCTCTTCTTGGATTTTATATACTTAGCCCTTGTACTCTGGACTAAGCTGTTGTTTGTTGGCTCTGCGTTGTCAGCCATTTCAGGCCCAATTTAGGGTCCTTATGGTGATGTATGTGGAAAGGTGGCGTCACAGTCTTATGAAGAATTTCTTAACATCGCCCTGTGGTTTTATAACATTTCTTTTGCAGATATGCCTGGGTCCGAGTCCATCCCTCCATGTCCTAAAGTTATTTTCATAAAGTTCTGTTTTAAAATAACTGCTAAGTTTGTCAGCACTACTTTTTAGGGAGCCTTTTCCAAACTCTGACCTCTGCTGGTCAGACATCTCTTTCCAGTTTTGAGCCTAAATTTATTTCTGAGTCATCATTCCTTCAGACACAACGTTGGTTTTGCTCAAATGGCTCTTCTTCTTGGGGCTGGAGTCTCCTAATATGTTGTAAAGAATGATTATATCCTTTCCCTGTCTTTGTCAAGGCAAGACAAGAAAATCCTTTTTTTTTTTTTTTTTTTAATAACCTAAACTCTCATTTCCTCAAATATCCTGCATTCATTTTGTATTCTGTACAACATGAATTTTTGGAATACTGGTCCTGATACAGTTTTACAAGAGCTCTATACCTTTGCATCAGTACTTTACTGTCACTGTCAGACTACCTTGATGAGAGTGCCTTTTCCGTAGCTCTATTGCAGTAGATTTCACACAGTCTGTGATTTCATAGAAGGCTCAGGGTCTTCCTCCTCTCTGCTGCTACCAGCTGATACCGTCATCCAGAAAAGGGTCTGTTGTGTTTTTTGGGCAGGGTAGCAGATTGGAGTGAATTATGGTAAACTTCAGTACCTAGCGCAGAATGGATACTTTGAGAAGTAGAGGTTGCAGTACGGAATGAACCTTGCGGTTTGACAAGCACGTATTTCATTTTGTTACAGTATCTTTAGGTTCATAAATAATAGTACAGAGTGGTAAAGGCTGTTACTGCAGATGTAAGTGTTTACATCGTAAACCCATTCTTTTGGGCAACGTTGTGTGTTGGAGAATAGCTGAAATATTGAATTTAAGTGTCCCTTATGAAAAATGAATAAGTAAAATCTAGAAAAAAATACAGTTCTAACGGTAGTCCTGTAAAATGGAGTAAAATTTCTGTTGCTGTTCTTTTATGCAAGCATTGGAGTCAGTGGTGTTAATGTGCTCATTTTTGTCTATGCCTCTTTTATAAAGGTTCAAGATTAAAATATGTGCCTATGCTTGGGTTGCTTATATCACTGACAGACTTAAGGGAAATACGAAGTCAGCGATTCTGTACGAGTAGAAGTTTTTGTGTG